GCCTATCTACCATAAGAATATGAGCGAAATCGAATTTTCGACCCTTGCCGCGAAATTAAGAATTTGTCTGATTTTTACGGGCAGGCACTCTTAATACCTGGGAAGAGAAGGTAACCATGAGCATTGCCTCAGTTAACAATTTTTTCGTGGCTAAGGCTCTGATTCAACAGAAACAAATTGGATTAGTCCTCAGATATTCCATTTACATAATAGTGAAGCTATGGCTTAAATATTAAAAAAATAAGCAAAAAGAAAAAACAGAAAAAAAAAAAGAAGCAATGTTGGAATCATATTGACTCCTTAAACTTAAGTTTGACAATTTCCCTTGAAGATTTTGTCTGTGCTGCTTGGTCTGCTATATTAGTTTTTCTGTATCTTGAAAATGGGTTCCTCTTTACATGTTGACGTCGTGGACTAAAGACTCAAGCTCACAAAATCTCGATAGCGTAAATTAACAATATTTTATAACCGCGCGCTGGTTGGTCATCCCACATCCTCTACTGATTGTTTAATTTGACTTTAGCTTTGTATTCAAAATATTGAACAATGTAAATATAATTATTAATAAAAAAAGGAGACTTTTCAGGGTGTTACCATGTTTTTCACACGCTAAACCCTACGTGTAACTCCAAAATAGATTTTCTGATCATTGAAAACTCTGACTTTATTGGAGTCCATGATGATTCTACACGTGAGTACATGGAAAAGAACATCTGTAGCAGCTGTAGCATGCCTTAAACTGGTAACGCAATTCTGTAGCTATGGAAACTGAGTCACAGCTTGTTGTTTCGGCCTAATCTGTACTACATTTGAAAATTAATTAAAAGACGCTGGACGCAAATGCTACGTACATTTTCTCGGTATGTTTCGCAAAATTGTTGAGTTTCCCAAAGGCGAACCATTCAACCAAAACTTCCGGGAACAAAATCAAATGGAATGAAAATTCCTGATGAAAAATTTTCGAACATTTTGGGTGTAGTCTTCGCGAATTTGACCTCATTTCTAGACATTTTGGAAACTGTCATTTTAATCGACACTGGAAATTCCGGAAAATGCAGTTCCACCCTATTCTAGAGATTCAAACGGAATTTTTAAAACCCCAGTATTTCTTACCTTAAATCGTTTGGAAATCCTGGCCCACATTGCTTTGAATTAAAGAGGCAAGTCGCGGAACCATTACTGCCCTCGATCAAAACAAATGATCCACTAAACGTTCGGTGTATGTCAAACCGAACATAAAGGAGCCGACAGAAGTTATTATCAATGAAATGCCGTGATCAAACCAGAAGCCGTTCTTACTATACACTGACGTAATCAGACCGCGCTACAAAAACACGAAGCAAACAATCCGCCGCGCCCATGTCGTCACTTGATTAGCAAAACCACGATTGCTCCTCGGCCAGACAGCTGGGTTTTAGCAAAATAGAAAATTATCCCAAAATTTGATTCGTGGATCAGTAAAATCTATTACAAATCAAATTATGATTCAGTGAGTTCTGCACTCGTCCTTTCGCGATTTTACGGACATATATCTAAATGATAATATCTTGACAACCTCTGAACTACAAAAACAAGCGGAAGTAGACATTTTGCAGCGCCATTGAGAACTTTTCTGTGGTACACTCGTGACGTATCACCGACAAATGACGCTGGAGTTCCGGCAAATTCGACAAAAACAAAATAGACTAGTTCTCAAATACACCCATTTACATAGCTGTAGCTATCATGTAAAAAAAAAAAGACAAAATCAAATGACAATAATACAATAAACCGATTCGGAGTCATTAACGCCAAAATTTTCAATTGTCAAATTTTTATATATTTTTATTTCTTTTTTAAGTGGTAGAAGAAGTAGAGGGAGATGATGTTAATATTGTTAATATTGCGGTTGTGGTAAAAATACGAGATTTGCAGTGTGTTATTATGTTTTTCACTCCCTAAACCCTAATTCATATTTCAAAACAAATTTTCGAAGGTAGTAAAATATGTCACCACTGATCATTCAAGTCCATGATGATCCTAAACGTGAGTACACGGAAAAGAAAACCGGATAGCACGTGTAGCAAGCCTTAAGCTTGTGACGCAATTCTGTAGTTATGGAAACTGAGCCAAAACGTGTTTTTCCGGCTTAATCCATATTGTGAGCGACTTGAACCGCCATGGTTTAAAATTAATTAAAATATATGCACACGCATTTAAGGTATCATTATCTACTCATTTATTCAATAGTAATGTCCGACTACTCAACGAAAACGAGATATTGATATCTGATTCCAGGTCCAAGTTTACTAGCAGCTTGTCGATGGTATCAAAAATAGCAATTACATTATTTTGTCCTTCCTGTGCCATTTGTCGAGATCGTTAATGGCAATCTGTCAATCGCTCTTCACTATCCAAAGATGATTGGAAAATTTTCTCCTTGACTCTTGATGTGGAGATTAAATTAATTAAGGTGAAAAATCCAAAGTAAACTTGTACATTCAGGAAAGTCGGTTCAAAGCCATCGAAGCTTTGTTAGATTTAATTAACTGTCATCGTGGTAGACAAGTTAATCGGCGTTTTCCAACAGTACTGTTACCTTTTCAGAATTGCGTCAAAAAAAATTAAAGAAAAAAAAAGCTATACAATTTTTTAAATGTCTATTGGTTGAAGCTGTGACATTTAGGCGAAATTAATCTCACCAACTTGATATCCATTTTTCCAATTTCACCAGCACACTTGAATCAATATTTAAGAAGCAGAGACTTTGTAATTTTCACGGAAAACTGGCTACCGCTTCCGTTTTAATATTGGAAATAATCATGTTCTTGCTGTCCCTTTATTACGTTACAAAATATAAGATGACACCTTAATTCGTTCACTTTTTGTATTCAGCGGTAAGTGGCTCTTAGCTAACGTAACTGAAGCTTCTGTTGGGACCTTGGATCATATTCATCGACAATAACGTCTTGGGAACGGCCATCTTATGCGCGGAAATATTTGTTCAAGTGACTTTTAAAAAGATGCCTTCAAGTCCTCTGTCAGGAAAAACAAATTGTTGAACCAATAGGAAATCCTCTTCAAGCAAACAGAAGATATATGAGTGCGAAAAGTGCATCTGGTAGATAATTTCTTGGATCGTGTTTCAGTTGCACATTCGTGTTCATTTTTCCTTTTCTCTGCATGTCGTCGGCTTAACTAGGTAAGTATTAACCTGTAGACTTGCAATTTCTAGAAGAGATTCTTCAAAAATATGATAATCAGCAAGTTTCGCCATCATAAACGGGTTCTTTTGGCGGAGACCAAAAGCCTAAGGCCGCCGCAATGAAACTACAAATAGTAATTAAAACTACCGCAAACGCCAAACACCAAATTTCGATTCTTCAACGTTTGTTGTGACTTTGAGTGAAAAAATTGAATAGGAGTATCGTCCGATTGTTTAGCTAGAATGTATATTGTTCTTGTTATTCGATTACATGGCATTGCTTTTCTTGGCTTTCACGACGAGCTTTGCATCGTTAATAAATGGCTCTACTTGGCAAATGGTTTCGTAAGCTCTAAACTCCAATTCGATCGGGAAACGGTGGGCGAAGAGACTGTTATGTGCCACTGCAAGTCCCTATTTGTTTTTTTGCTATCTTATTTATCATTCATTGTCACAGTTTTAAAACGAAATCGTACTCAGCTCTTTCTTTGTATTGCAAGGTATATTGAGACACCAACTTGAAGGCGGAATAATTTTCTCTTTGTAATAAATAATATTTCGTTCCCTAAATTTTGATTCTCGCATATAACTAAGATCTTATTGAAAAAACATTGAAGCTAAAAGGAAAAGACCGTTAATGATCAACAACGGAGCTATGACATGCAGGAAGGAAATCCAAATTAGAACAGCGACACGGAAGCACATACTCATGAATCGTAAACGTTATAATACAAATAACACATGCGTACATTACTGACGTTTGTAAGAAATCAACGATGCAGGTAATAAAGGGAAATTTCATGAAGCCTGGTTTTCACGTCAGATGGGCGACAGAAAGAAAACGAAACAAACATCATTTTCGTCGTTTGCCTTTATTTAATTTTTTGTCGTTCAAAGCAAAAAAATCTGGAGACGTTGTTTATATACTGCGTCACATGCTCGAGACCCGCCTGTGGCAGCGCAAGAGAAGAGTTTGCACTCGCCTCTTCCTGTTTCCTTCCCACCGAATTTGCTTCGCAACCATCTGGGTCTTCATGCAACGATTCTTTTGACTTTGCGGGAAGGGGGGTTACGTGACGGACAAAATAACGCTTATATGAGAGGAGGTCTTGCACCAATTAGTAATTAGACTGATTCTGAATCTTTCCTTGGTGTGAGTATCCTGTCATCTTTGCACAACACCGGCACTTAAGGAACTTTCAAGGTAATTCATAAAGGTTCGAGTCATTGGGAGTTCCAGTTATCTGGAGTTGAGAACAAAGGACCGGAAATAAAGATAAAACGGTGTTTACTGTATTTGTATTCATACAATGTACGATTTAATCAATTTAATTATAGAGAAGTCTACTGAAAATGGAACAATACATTTTTAAATAACTTTATAAATCAGAACGAATAAACGTAAGAAAGAAACGTAAAGAAAGCAAAGCAGGAGAATTCCAAGTACTGCGAATTTTGCACGTTTCAAAGAGATCAATGTTGGGCTTCTACTACAGAGTTCATGCGATTTACTTTTTCAAGAAATAATGCCAATGTTTTGGACTACAGTGCTGATTGTTTTGAGTTGTTACGTATTGAGAAACATTTTTCGAGTTATCGAGGGCACAATTATATGGGAAATGACCTGAAGGAAACGAAAATTGCTTCGAGTTAGCAGGAGGTTCGAGTTATCGAGGGTTCGTGTTACCGAGGAGATTACAGTCAATATATGCATATGACGAAAATAAAAGGGAAAACGATTTTGGTTCGAGTTATTTGCGATGTTCGAGTTAGCGAGGGTTTGAGTTATCGAGAGTCACCTGTAAATAATATCCCTCCAGCTGTTCGTCTGAAATTGCTAACTGCCAAATCGTGAAAACTTTCCTACCACCATTTTATTATTAACACGTCAATCTTTTGTTTCAGGTACACAGAATGCCTGGCTTCACGTCACTTTTTATGATCTTAATATTCGTGTCATGTATTGAAAGCTTCTACGGCAACGATGACTTCCGTTCTTCTTATTTATCTATCTGGGAAGACCACGTTTTATTAGGCCACGTAATGGAATTACACCCTGCGCGACGAATTACTTCGTGTGCCCAACACTGCTTGTCTAAACCAGAATGTCTTTCCTTCAACTTTGGCACGGCTTCTAATCTTTGCGAGCTGAACAATTCATCTTCTCAATTTGCAAAGCAAGACCTCATGCGAAGAAGCAACTTCGTCCATGGCCACTGGATAACTTTACCTGTTGTTTTTACAACGCTAGGTGCACAAGGACCTACGGGACCAACGAGCACATCCGGGTACTTGGGCACGTCGCTTGAGGGTCAAGTCCAACTAAAGAACGGCATTCAAATGTGGACAGTTCCCAACACAGGAAGGTACGTTATCGATGCTTTCGGTGCTTCGGGAGGGAATGGCAAATGTAACACATGTACGAGGTGGAGGCTTGGAGGTCTGGGTGCAAAAATATCGGGCTCCTTTACACTCAAGCGTGGGCAAAAGTTAAAAATATTAGTCGGACAAAAAGGGAAGATTAACTCCGACTTTCCGAATACCGCAGGAGGTGGGGGAGGTGGTACCTTCGTTACACTCATGAATAATTCGCCTCTGATTGTAGCCGGTGGAGGAGGGGGAGCAAGCGGTAAAACGGACGGTGACCCTGGACAAGCTAGTCAGGCAGGAACGAGGAAAGGAGGTAAAGCCGGGTCAGGAGGAAAAAGATCGGATCCAGGTAACATATTGTCTGGGACTGGAGCAGGAGTGTGGGAAGATGGCGAGGGTAAGGATGGAAAAGCGCTGAGTTTTCAAAATGTTCAACTTGGTGGTCACGTTGCTGATAATCGGTCACCAACAGGAGGATTTGGTGGAGGGGGTTATGCATTGGGGTTTCCCGGAGGAGGAGGCGGATACTCCGGTGGAGGAGTTGATGGGGTGTCAGTAGACAATGTTACCGCAGGAGGGGGAGGCTCCATAAACAATGGCACATCGCAGATTAACGAGAGCGGTGTCAATGATGGAGACGGTAGGCTCATTATCACACTGATGAATTAGGTACAGAACTGGATTAATGACATTTCAAAACGAAGTGCTTCTTCGAGCAAGATGTGTATTTTACATTGTATTTTCAACTGGTCATTAGTGACTCAGATAATTTTATTTGAATTCGTAGCAAGCAGAAGTAACCAGTTGTATGACACGGATACATCCAGTAAAAGCACTAAGCTGCCCACATGCGTTACGATGGTGACCAGTTTTCAAGAGGGGAGACCGTGGACAGGGTCGGCTAAGGAATGTTTTTTCGTGGAGAAGGAAGCGTGCATACTCCGATGGTGGAACTGAAGGAATTTACCCACCGGTACTAGACACGATACATAACGAAGAGAGGAAGGATGGTGTCTTTTGCGGGCAGCATGTATAATTTCTATGCATTTGCAATTAGCCATCAGACATAATAACCCGCATTCTGCGTGGTGTTTTGCCTGTTCGTTATCTTTATAACTGCATATGACCATGACTCAGACATTCTTACTGGATACAAAGCTGGCAGACTTAAGAAGCCAAGTGTATGACACAAGTTTAAGTTAATAATCAAATTCTGGAGAAGATTACGAAGAAAAATGGTCGAAATCGTACAAAACAGGCAAACTGACCTTCTTCGTCACCGGGGAAGTGTTCCTGCAAATGCAAGGAACATCACAAAATATTATGAGATACTTTTCCAATAAAAGTTCAATAAATATCAAGCTGCCACGAGCCAGCGTAGCCGACAGTTTCAGGCTAACATTAGTCTGCTTTCTTTTGGTTCGTTGAGAGAGAGGTTAAGACGAGAAAATACACACGTGAAGAATAGGTGCTAAGACGCCTCTACAATATGAATTTGAAGCGGCGCTATCCCAATTTTGGCTATGTGACCCCAATCTATCGCCTCTTTCTTGCAGTCTGTTTATAAACAGGCAACCATAGGGAAATTATTATTTTCCCTGTTTGACACAGGAGTATTATATCAGCCATCCAGGAAGAATGAAAACCAGAACCTATCAAAATGCAACCAAAACTTGGACGTTTTCCATGCAAATTTGAATGGAATTTGTAAGACGAAATCTGATAGGAAATCGGGGAATTTCAGTTTTCAGTGGACAAGAACCTTGTACCAAAATAATTTCAAGTATATTACAGTCCTTTTTGCATTTTCTAAAAGCTAAAGATAAACAATTTCCCATGGGAAGGCGAGGAAATAAATTTCAAAGTGCAGAGAAATTGTGCAAACACAGGCAAAATTTCATCATCAGTTTCATTTCACCAGTACTTTCAGGAGTTTCATATGAAATTCAAAATTTATTTTCGACATCTGGTATTGCAAGAAAGGAATTCTTTTGAGAAGATATTTAAAGCAGTCGCACAGAAGTTTGTACTGATACAATGTAAATAATCTACTGGGTACAAAGCTTTAGTTAGAATATTGCACTGCAATATTAATATTGAGTAGTTCCTCTTTAAGTTTCTTTTCGCCATACTTTGTGCGCTCCTCCCCCCCCCNAAAAAAAAAAAAAAAAGAAGAATCCCGGCATTAGCTCTTACGCCGATACTTTCGGTCCAGGCCATCCCTCCTTTTCTAAGCACGCGTCTTCGTTCATTCTGCATTGTGGAAAAACAAACATATTTGCACACTCACCGAAAGCTTGGTACACTAACCCGGCAGTTTCAAAATTCAGTTGACCATCGGGAAATAACCGAAAGACCAGGACGACATGTAACTACGGCTAAATAAACTTCAGTCAAAGTTACTTTCTTAGCTCAACTAACATGAGACGGGCAAATTAGATTAGAAAATCACATATTTAAATATATATTTTCCGTACTTCCTGTTTAAATCAATTAGGTTTAAAGGAAACCTCAAGTACGAGCTCAAAATTCAAATTATTAGTAAAACATAAAGGCAGGTGAACGTCAAAGAACAGCATAAAATCTTACACCATTCTGTTTAGTGATTGACAAGTTAGTTTACGTGTGTTTAGGGCTCTAATGCATTCGAGCAAACATTACTTTTTATTAGTGGAGGCGGAAAGATTTCTAAATTACATTTCCTTGTGATATCATTATTTTTAAGCATTGTCAGATTGCCATTGACTTTCTGGCAGGCAGTTAAACGACGATAAAACTGAATCTATTGTAGCTTGGAATGTTTCGAAAAATTATGAACGGAATGGTTACAACTGAACCCAAAAGGTAAGAGATGATCTTTGCCATTTTAATCAGTTTTTATAAAGAGCGATATATTTCAGAAGTAAGGATCAAAACAACGCTTTAAAATATAGATCTAGACCGTGTTCATCTGCCAAGATTAACCGGAAAATCCGTCGAACACAACCATGCTTAACGTTGAAAAAAAAAATGTTCCAATTAAAGCAAAATACAATGGAAACTGAACAAACTCGATAAAAAAGTTTTTCCATAGCATGTAAGACCTTGTATAGTCTCTTTACATAGAAACAATTTTATAATTATCCTTCGGATTACAAATGGTATAAGTTAGAAAATACGACATTTCCTAGCGACCGGTTTTACTTAAGTCAACAAAGAGACAAATGGCACATTCGCCGAAAAATTTCTTTATTTTCGATAATGACGACCCGGAAATGTGAGACTGAGAATAAAAAGAAACAATGGTAGACCAGGCTATTTCATCAGAGGACACAGGTCGCATTTTTTTCACGTATCTATTAGCGAACACTGGGGAATGGAACCAACCAAAATTCTTGAATCAAGCTAATTCTTTCAAATGGAGTTTCGCATTACACCTACACTACTTTCCGAGTTTCATTCTTGATCTTTACCCTCAGTTGAAACCAGACGTAATGCTTTGTTTTGCTATTATTATTATTTATTTATTTATTTATTTATTTATTTTTTGCATTTAAAGCTTTCGAGTGAAGAATACATTTTATCAAAGAAGAAATTTTGGCTGGGTGCAATTTTCGACGAAAGCTTTACTTTAATCCTAAGAGTTTAATTTTTGACACTAGTTGAAATGTGTTATCATTTTTCTGACACATCTCTGGAAACTAAACCCCCCAAAACTTTAAATGTCGGTTCGGGAAGACAAATCTGAAAATCATAGAATTGAATTAATTCAGTTCAAATATCACTTGTAAGAGTTAACCCACTACAATAATAAAATTAAATCGAGCAAATAACTTACGCCATCTTCTGGCGTACAATGAGGAAAACTACGTCGGTGATTATGGATGGAACCCGAATGTTTCACGCCAAAGTTCCGCCTTAGATCGGGCACGTACTTAACTTTAACATTATTTTTTTATTTTTGAGCACAAAACCAAAAATTTCCAGATACAATCCCAACAATTTCCTGCTAAAAAAAATTACAGTACAATCCCAAATTCTCGAACCATCTAGAACTGAACATAGGCACGCAAGGCGTGCAAGAGTTATTTTTTTGTGTGAAGTGTCGGAGATAGGAGCATTCATGGAGCTGTTTACAGTAACGATTTGGTTAATTTGACAAGTATTTTTGGTTGTGATGTACAGCAAGAAACAAACTGGGAATTTATAATGTACGTGCGATGTTACATCGGTCATGGTAAGATAGCTAAATAGTAAGCCATAAAATGTTTGACTGAACAAAATACAGTAATCTGACACGTCTCCAGATTAATGTAGATACCATCTTATTTTCTAACAGGCAATTTGATTCGTTCTTTCATACAACCTGCACTGTAATTGGCGTGACAGGCGTACATGCACAACTCCGTCACTCACCGATCACATAACCCTTCCAACCCCCAAGAGGAATTTTTGCTTAAAAATACTCAAGTTAATTTAGAGACTTTTTCGCATTTTGTACGAGTCGTACGTTTACCCTTTTTACACAACACAACACAAACACAACTTCACTGAAAATAGAAAGAAAGAGAAAAAAAACCTCTTTCACGTTGAAAGTCTGATTTAATTAAATTGCACTTTAACTTGGTGCCACGCAGTCTTCAAAGAACATTTGAACAGTTTTCATACTATTTACCTTTAAAAATATCGGACTGAAATGAATGTCATCAAATAAAAGTATTAAACTGCTACTGCAGAGACGTAAAAACCGTCCAGAAATGAAAGCTTTTTTTGTTTAATATCCTGGG